CTCACGAGGTTTTATTGAACCACTTGGAGCAACATGGGCGCTGGTGTGTGCCCTGGAGAAGAAGAAGCAAGAGAAGGGGAGGGGGGATATCACGTCAGGAACGTGAGTCGATGGAGAGTGACTAATACTGTGAACGAGTAAGTCATAACTGATACCCGGCTTAGCAATGCTTAGTGTCAGCTGCGGGCTGGCTTGCGGGAGGCAGTTCCAGGTACTGGTCTGATGGTTTCCTGGGTGTTATTTCTCAGGTCACCAGTGTTGGGGTTACTGGCCCCAAATGGGGGCTCGCTCGCTTACGCCACGTCAGGCTGATGTTGCCGGGCAAGGTGTTGCTCAGCGCTTTTCTGTTTCGGGCGTGTGGCTCTTTGAGAATTATTTTGAAACGCAGGTAGTAACTTTTCTGATCGCTGTGGTTTTCTGTACTCCTCGCAAGTCCCTGTGGAGGAGGAACCTTGTTCCTTCTAGGAGTTGGTGAGACGCTGAGTAGGCGGTGGCAAACAGCATTACGGATCAGATTTCAGCCCCCATGTCCCAGAGTGCCAGAATTTAGCCTAAATGATGTAAAGACTTTAAGAGAACAGTAGATTATGATGACTGATAATTAAGTACTCTTTCTTAAAGTCTTTTTTGGGGGGGAAATATTAGAAAGAAATTTCTTGCTATCCTTTTGTTTCTCACTGTCATAATAGCTCTCTGTAGGCTTGCGTAGGCTTTGTACTAGTGCACAAAAAAAGACAACAGGTTCTCATATAAAGAAACTGCTGAAATTTTCCTGGAAAAAGGAGTCAATGGTCACTGTTTACTATAGTCTAGGAGAATTTCCGTGAAAATTTACCAGCTCAGGCAAAAAACTTCTCCTCCTCTCTGCTGCTAATGGAAGAATTTTTAGGGATTTTTAGCATTTTTAGGGATGCTGTTGATTTATGTTACATTTCAGTGTACTTTAGTTCTTTAACTCACGATAGTTTCAAGTAACATGCTAGGATTATTAAAACTGGTGGATTTTTTTTCCCTGAAGAAAAGGTTTTTCTCATTTTCCTCCCGGTACTTACTAGTTTAGATGCGAATGATGTTTTTAATTGTTGTAATGGCTTCATTTACACTGGAATTTGCAGAATTGGGTCCTATGTTACCTGTTTACCAGTGCTTGCCTGAGCATAGTTCCATATGTTTAAGGTGTTCACAGAACTGCAATCTTTGTTTTCATTTTACCCTTAAATAAGGGAGAGATTTTATTTATTCTTCTGCAGAACAGCAGAGAAAGGTCCAGGTCCCTGTCGGCTTTAGGAGTCAGCATGGCTCTTCTGTCCCTGACGGATTCAGCATATACCCAGAGAGATTTCAGTTGTTCTGTACTGTCTGTAACGGCAATCCAAAAAAAACCCACCCGGTTCAGGGAGCCTGTTCAGTGAGCTTGGCTATTAGGATGTTACAGCTCTTGTTCTGAAGCGTTGGGAGGGTTTTGGGAAAGCCCGGTAGTTCCTGGGGATTAATTCTTGGGGACAGGGAGGCCTGAGCTAAAAAACCCCCTTAAAATAAATGAAACACCGCCCAGTGAGTTTTCCTCAGCCAAGTTCTGCTGGTGTATGTGGGCAGGATCCTGGTGGCTGTGCTGCTGCGTACGGAGCTCAGCTCTCGGTGTGAGAAAAACCCTGGAGATAGCTGTGCTCACAGCAACCGGTGGCTTTCGGTTTCTGCTCATCTTTGTTTTTTCCTAATGTATAGACACGATGGCAACAGCTACTTCTTCCAACCTATCCAACCCTGGATATACCTCACTTGGCCAGCTTCTTGTCTGCATATGCCAGTGCTAACACAGAGCAAGTCTGCCACATCTGCCGCACAGATGTACGCTTCTCTTCAGCACCGTGCTTCAGATCCAGAGAGTGATTCAAAAGAGTAATCCAGATAACACAGACTGATGTCAGATACCAAGCCACAAACCTCTGCGTGCATTGCGGCTGCCTTGTGGGAATCGGTTCTCCCATTCTCTTCCCCTGAGTTTTTGTTCATTTGCTGCCAGGGGCGCAGTTCCAGTGGCACAGCCAGTCACGTGGACTGATCCACTGGTAGGAAATTAGCTTTTCCCTTCTTCAGCATGCCACACCTTTTATTGCTGAAGAGGATGGATAGGTAGTGTGTCAATTGCAGTTCACACTGAGTAATTTATAGGCTGAATCTAAGAACATCTCATGTTTGCTTCTTGGCTCTTCTGGAATGATTTCGTTTTTCCTATTGGAAAACTCTTGAGTATATTGATCTTGAGGCATATCAAGCAGCATCGGTGATGTCAAGGGCATCTGATTCAGGCAATCCTGACAGAGATATCTGAGCAGTTTTCCCTAAATAAATACAAATAGCATGCTCTGGCTGGGAATCTGGAAGAAATTAGGGCTTGGAGAAACCCAAGCAGAGCAATAGATCAAGGAATATTGAACAGGAATCTAGAAGAATTACAGGGAGACATAGCCTGTAAATACAGATGCACAGCTGTAACAGTTCTCTTTGCCACTGCAGCATCGAGCAGCAATTTGGAAAACACATAATGCCATTGCTAACAAAGAGGAAGAAATCTTACTTTAGAAATAGAAGTGAGAAAGATTCCTCCTACAGCAGGCACACAAAGTTTTCATCTTCCCACTCGCACCACTGCTCCAACAGCATGCAGCCCTGCTTGCATCCCGGCGATTTGCATCCCGGGGTGAGCGAGCTGGGAGACTGGAGGTTGCGGTGGAGAAAAGTGCAGCTGCTGAAGCCCTGCCGATGGCAGCACGCCCCGCGGGACGGGCCTGGAAGCAATCCTTTCCCTCCTAGAGTGAGCCTTGTGCTTTCTCTGTCTTGCGGGGGGGGGAAGAAGGTTTGTGAAGAGATTGTTTAAAATAAATAAATTTCAAAAAAGAAAAGCGTCACCGAGTCTGCACATTGAGCGAGTCGCTTAAACATACTCATCCAAGAGAGCTGTAACCGAAGCAGCCAAAGTCCACTTGAGCTGGGGCTGAATTTGGCCCCTTTTCTCTCTTTCACGCCCACAGTGCAAATAAAAGCTGCAGCTTCTTGGGGCTGGGTGGGAGGGAGGAGGCGGGAAAAGCCACTGGAGTGTGATGCTGCATTGACAGTTGATGTGCATTCCTTGAAAACCCGGGCTTCTCATCACGCCTGGATAGCGCAGCATGACAAGTCGTCGGGAGACGGGATGGGGTTTGCTAGGAGGGGGGGCATTGTGATGGGTGTAGGATCTTTCTGGGAGTTACGGAGCAATGCTGACTTCTGATTAAGGGATGGGGAAAAAGCGGTGTTAGCCTGAAAATCAGGCTGGAACCGTCAAGAGCTGCTAACTCTTTGGCAGGAGTTACATTCAAAGGGGTCATTTCAATTCAGAATGTTGTTTACTTTCTACTGTTCTTTAAATAACTTCAGGCTGTGTCCCTCTGGAGTAGAAACAGCAGAGCAGACCGAAAGGCTTTTGCTATGAGTTAAATCTGGCAAATAGACTATACAAAAGTAATTTATCTTTGCTACGTGAATGACAATATTTACACTGCACTCTCCTCCAGAAGGAGGCTATGGACATTTGTAAGTGATGTACAAGAGTCTCATCCTCGCTGAACAGCAGTTTGCTCTGATAGAGCACTGCAAGGTTGCAGTTTGGAATGACTTTGGGCAAATAGTATAGAATATGAAATCCAAATAATACAGAATATGAAAGGGTCATTTAAACCTGCAAGAAGGTATTTGTGAAACTGGCGTTTAGTTTGAGCTAGTAACATCTGTCGAATTGCAGTAAGTGTAACTGAGTCTTCAAGATTCTCAAATATCCAGGATTTTCTTTTGGATGCTTCCTCTCACTGGCACAGTTTCAAAAGTATTACTGCTGAATGGGGCACTTACATCAGACTGAAAATCACTTTGTTACTTTGGGTTTGAACACAATTCAAGCTGAAAGTTAACCAAGAGGAAGCAATCTTATTTTGGATTAAGTATGCCCAAGTGATGATTAATTTAAATAATAATTTAAAGCTTTCTTGTGAAGACAAATGCTTAAAAGAAAGATCACTTGTGTCTGTGAGTTCGCATATCCTCTTGATACATTCTAAGTAAGACACAGGGTGTTACCCACATGGTGACCAACATTGCTAGAGGATGGCTTAAAGGAAACGTAGTATAAGTGAACAAGTTTGGGGAAGGGTGGTCAGGTCGGAGTGTGACCTGGAGAGCAACATTTTGCTTGTGTATCACTGCCTGCAATTTCATTTTTTTTTTATTTTTTGCTTCTGTAGAAGTATAGTGTAGAAGAAAATAGAAATCAGGTGTCTAAGTCGTTGGATCAGTATGTCTGCTAGAGAAGACATGGTTGTTTTGATTTTTCAGGTGTTGAGCAATGACCTAAACTCATTTTCAGTGAAACCAATGCCTCCCGTTGATTTTGGTGAATCCCAGTTAGGCCTTTGGTAGGCACTTAAATGCAGCCTAATCTCCAACTGTACTTGATCTCAGCAAAAGCCCCTCAGCACTTAATTGCTGCACACAACTATTTGCAGCTCCATTTCTTTCCCCAGCAGGGTATCATGCTGGGGGACAGAAGAAGTGAGCCTGCTGTCCCTGTTTGTAAAGCACTTTGTGATCCCTCCCGGGTGCAATGTGAACACCAGTGGGCTGTGGTTCTCTCCCACCTGGGTTTCAGTTCCAGAGCATGAGACTTTTTCACTTTCCACTTTTTTTTTTTCTTTTTTCCTCTTTCTGACAGAGCGCTCAGCTGCTGCTTGTGAGCAGCTGTTCTGTTTCCCTGCCTGCAGCGGTACCCAGGCAGCTGCACTCTGCAACAGCCAAAGGTGGCCAGAGCAATGCTGGGCTCTGTTAAAGAGTAACGAGGTTGAGAAAGAGAGGAGGGAGCGGGGAAAATCCCATGACCTGGGGTAGATTCTACCCTGTCAGTGGGTGCTGAGAGACCTGAGTGACCTCTGTGTCCAGCTAGAGATGTGTTTTCTATGCGTCTGTCGCAGGAAGACTCACCTGCTGAGTCTGAGAAAGCCGTTAATCACGAGGTGATACTGAAGTTCTCTGGGAAAGGAAGTGTTGCTGACAGCGGCAAACAGCTTATGTTCACGTCTCATGGAAACTTAAATGTGCGTAAGTGTGTGTTCAGCATGTGCTGTCTGCATGCCGTGTGACTCACGCACACAGAGGGTCAGGTGTGGCTAAGAACAGACCTGTGACATGCAGTATGACCTTTTTTTTTTTCCTTGCAGATGGTAGAGCATTATGTTTAAGTATTTGTCTGTTCTTGGTTTTATGTGCCTATTTTTCCAGTTATGACCGTAGCGTTGATTTTGTGGTTCCACCTCTGGGCGCTTAGTGAGGAGCAATTTAGTGTGCATGAAGCTACATGGTAGGTTTGTGGCATGCCAGCGTTTCACCTTTTGCCCAACTTAGTATTTTTTTTTTCTTTGTATTCCAGAAAAAGGCATGGCATACAATAAAAACCATGGTTAACTTACCAGTCATCAGCCCCTTCAAGAAACGCTACTCGTGGGTGCAGCTGGCTGGGCATACAGGTGAGACATGTCTTCATCATATTTGTCTCTGGAGTGGGGATGGAAGCAGCAAGGAAAACAGCATTTTGGCGTTTCTCTGTTTCTTTCCTTCAGGTAAAAAGGAAGCAGGCAATATCACACAATTCTGAACTAGAATAGTGGCGGATAGGGAAGGGGGAATGATGTGTGTGAATAATGAGATGAGCAAGGAAGCAATGGTCAGACTCTGGGGAAGAGCCAAGCTCCCAGTGAATCCTTGTAAGATGATATATGTAGAATACGTGTTAGAGGGAAACAAGAGGGACCGAGGAGTTGAAGCTCTAGTCCATCTGTTGCTGTTGGATGTGGTATGGGATCATCTTTCTTGACTGAGTAGCCAATAAGTTAGTTCTCCAGGCAAAAGTATTACTGTCCATGCCTTAAGTGCTTCAGTCCTAGCAAGGACAGTGTTTCTAATACCAACTCCAAACCCCTCATCTGAATGTAAGCCCTTGGGTGAAGACAAATCTGGTGAAAACTGACTTGCTGACCAGGTGCTTGCATTTTGAGTCTCTTGTTTGCTATATGAGCGCAAGAAGCAGCTCAGTTGGCTGCTTCTGGTTTTGTGCCTGTAGAAGTTGATAAGTGTGCTCCTGCTGTAGGCTTTGTTTCACTGGCAAAAAAACACCCAAAACCCAACCAAAAATCCACAACAACAAAGAGAAGTCATCAGGTTTGCTTCTCTCATGCTTCATTTAATTCCCATGCAGCCCTTGTTCCTAAAGTGTTAGCACGGGGTTTATTAGTACACATGTGGGCAGGCACCTACGCTACATCGTGCTTTAATGTGGTACCTGAAACACCTCTTTGTGTGTTAATGCACTAATATGTTTCACTTCAGAGCTGCAGAGAGAAATTTCTTTAGTCCTAGAAATGGAGTAGCTGCGTTTTGCACAGCGGTGTCGATGGGGCTGACTTGTATGCCGCAGAGCGCCGAGATGTCCCAGTCCTACTGCGGTTTTTGTCACCGTGTGTACGGGGCTGGCTTGATCCGCCTGGAGTGATGCGCTGGTTGTGTAATCATTACCCTTCTGGAGGCTTGTGTAGTAAGGTGGAGGAGGAGGTTAAGAGGTTACTAGAAGCTGATTAGGAGAGATACTGCTCCAGTTTGCTTTAGATAGTTTTCTGTGGTTGCATTTAGTCCATCCTCTTTGCAGCTGTTCTTCTCTGATAGGGCAAGTTCTTTCCAAACTAAAAACCTGGGCTGTCAGCACCCTCGCCCTTGCGTTGAGGCAGTGCCAGTTCCAGGATTTGTCAGAGGAACCGGTTTGCAGTGGCTGAAGGGTCCCGCTGTGATAAAAGTTTAGCATTAGCCCCAGGATTAACAAGCCTCTTACTTTGGTTTTATGTCGTATAGATTAAAGGTACCACTGAATGAAATGTGTACTTTCCTCGGACGTTATTGGCAGGTTGCAGGACAGGAGAGTGTCTGAACAGGAGACACCAGACAGCCGGAGCCGAATTACTGCCAGTCTTGGCGTGTGCAGACCGTCATTTGTACTGCATACCGTCCAGACACAAAACCAAAAAACCCCAGACACCATCACTACAGGCTGTACCTGCAGAGTAGCAGCGCTCTGGGGAAGAGGCAGTACCTGGAGGCTGCACGCGTGCGCGGTCGCAGCACGTGTGGGTAGAAAGGGCAGCTCTTGGCTTTGGGCCCATTGGTGGCTGTTTAACGATCGCTGATTGACCGTCCTGCCTCGGTAGGTACACACCACAGGTACGCCCCGCGCGAGGATTAAGGACAAAGCCAACACTGGCAGGGTTACGCAGCTTTAAAATAGCCTGTCAGAGGATTAACAAATTCTGGCTCGTGGTTTCTTCCTATGCATTTTAGGAAGTTATAGCAGTGTTTAATACCCTAACAAAGAGTTTAGCATGGAAAGAAAGCCCAACCGACGATGGCCTGCAGCAGCTGCACTCCTTAAAGCTATAAATTCTGACATGGGAGTGTATCCAAACAGTTTCACTGCCAACGGCTGTGTTTGTCCTGGGTGTTGTATTTTTTATGAAAAGCGTGTTATCTTTTTTTGTTCAGGGGAAACCTTTACCTGGTGTTATGAGGCTGAGGTAGGTGGTGGGGGAAGGTGATCTGTCTTTTTTGCGGGTCCGTCTTGCCAGCATGTGTTTGATTTTATTTTTTTTTTTTCCCCCAGGGAGTTTCAAGGCAGCTGATAGTGGGAAGATTCTCAAACGCTTCTCAGAGAATGAAAAGGAGTGTTTTGAGCGACTGATGAAAGACCCGCTACGTTCCTGTGTCCCCTGCTTCCACGGTGTGGTGGAGAGAGATGGCGAGAGCTACATTCAGCTGGATGACTTGCTTACTGACTTTGAAGGGCCTTCAGTGATGGACTGCAAGATGGGCATCAGGTGGGGTACATAAAAGAGAAAGTGCTTCCCAACCCAAATGCCTTTGAAGGAAGGGAGAGATATGGTCCTGCCCTGTCTCAAGGAGTTTGGTAACATTTTTGGAGCGTTTGGGATTTAGTCCAGACAACTTGTTGTTGGTTTGGCAGTCACCTTGGGCAACCTGAGGAGAGCACGTCCCACTGTTGCCTGTTTGTACATGGATTCTGGAAAATAACCGATAGCCTCAAAAACTAGCCACGTCAAGAAATTTTCAGTAATTTAAGACAGAGTTTCTCTGCAGTGGCCTGAGTAACACATGGGAAAAAAAATTGCATGATTTGTTCACTCCCAGGTTATATAATCTTTGTGCAAGCAGTGATTAAAAAAAACCCACAAAGAGTAAAATTCCTGTCTCTAAACGTGATTGAACGAGTAGCAGTGTGAAAGCCCATTTCCAGCACTTGAATGTGTCTTCACTGGTATTGATCTTTTCTGTAAAAATAAGAGTTTTCTGTAAAAATAGTATCTGCTTGGGATATTGTTTTTTCCCCACTTTGACATCTCCATGACGCTATCACCTTGTTCTCCAGACTCTCGCTTTCTTTTCTTTTTCTTGACTATGATTAGGAGCAAAACTTCAAAAATGTTGTCTAAGCATAAGAAGTAGGTAAGGAATCTGTGAAGAGCCTGGAGTAACAGTAGAGAGAGATATGAAGGTATGAAATAGTAGTAATCTTGTGGATGCCAGCTCAGATGCTCAAGAGTTATTGCAGTTCAACTTGCAGTAGTGCAGACAAGACTTCTCAGAGAGATGCAAAATCTTAAATGAATTCACAGATAAATCGGAGTAAAAAGTGTACTGCTGGTATGCCCAGAAGAAAGAGGAGAAGGGTCTGTAGCAGTGCCTATTTTATTGAAGTAGATGATATTCTGGTGATGAGTGTCAGCATCTCCTAAACACCAGCCTGGCTTATTACGCTGTGAATAAGAAAGTACACTCCTGGCACCCAATGAGTGGAGAGTGCAGTGGGATGTGGAGAACATGGATTGTGCCTTTCTAATGATTACCAGATTAACAGGTTGAGTCATTAACAGCAAAATGTGGGAGGTTTGTCACCCTTCACCTTCCTGTTCTTAATTACCCGTTCTGGTTTGGAACTGCTCAGCTAATCTGCTTTATTCTTTAATTTTTAGCATATGAAGAGTGATTCTTTCACTGTGATCCATTAAGTAAAATGTCAATTGCTTTCTGAGGCCTAAAAAACCCAGACATGACTGATGTTCCGTTTTTTTGAGGAAGGAAAAGACTAAGATTTCAGCAGCCCTATTTGCATTTGATTTCATTGTAAGTGATCTCTCCTAACTGCCCTCTGAAAATAGAGTTCTGTTTCGTGGCACAGTAGGAATTGAGCTTTCTCCCATTCTGTAAGGAGGGCACAACAATAACACGTAACAGTAAGTAAAGGTGTAGTTATAACCAGAGGTGAACAACACAATTCCCAAATTCTATGGCTGTTTCACTAAATCAGACTGTGCCGTCATTAGTCTGTGTTCTTTAGTTTCCCCACATGCAAAACTGGGGTAATGATAACACATTTTCCTGGTTGGTGTTTCCTGAGGCCGGTTTATAAGTTGTCAAAAGAAATGTTTGAGGAGTCCTTACAGTTTTGTTGGGATGTGATGTTTTTTGCAGGACGTATCTGGAGGAAGAGTTGACTAAAGCCCGTGAGAAACCAAAGCTGCGTAAGGACATGTACAAGAAAATGATTGAAGTGGATCCTCTTGCTCCCACAGCTGAAGAGAATGCCCAGCATGCTGTCACCAAACCCCGGTACATGCAGTGGAGGGAAACCATCAGCTCTAGTGCCAACCTGGGCTTCAGGATTGAAGGGATTAAGGTAATAGTTTCAATTCTGCCTGTTCTTGGAGATCAAACTTTATTTGATTTGTCAGTAATCAAAAAGCTAGCACATGTCAATAGCCAGGTTTTCCAAAGGATTTTGTGAAAATGCACTAATTGAAACCCCAGGGTTCGGTGTGTTGTGGTTTTAAAGCACTCATTGTGATTATAACAGAGTAGTGTCAGTGAAGTTAAGCCTCAAATGCACATCACCAATAGCTGGTTCAGCCACAGAGACATTGCAGGAGAGTCTCAAGCAGGTACACAGTGTACATAGAATGAAAATGAGGCTGTTATAAGGAATAATTTTGAACTGAAGAATTAACCACCTCTCCCTGTACAATTACTTTCTTTTTTAATCCAGGAACCATACATATTTATTCCAAGTACATCACAGTAAGTGGTTTTGTTTCAGTTATGTTTATTTGCGAGGCATGTTAAAAGCATTAGCTTAGATATTCTTGGGATGGAGGAAGCCCTTTTCCTTCTAAGGACATGACAATATCCAGTATAGATGGAGCTGGAATAAAACCAAAGCCACCAAAAATAAAATTTTTCCATCAACAAAGTCCATCTGCTGTTCCTGATGGATAAATCTGTGCCCCTATACCGTCCCTAGGATACTACCTTGGAGCCACAGAAGAACCATGGCAATTTGCTTTCCTACCAATCAGTTCTTTGTTTGTTGTGCCCCATGGCGATGTTGGATACCTACCTACCAACTCTGAGCCATCTGGCTCAGTTACTTGAATGTTAATGCTTGCTGGATTCCAGAGGTGTGTGCTTTGTGCTTGCACAGACCTGTCACAGTGAGCATTAAACTATTTCGCTTGGGTTGAGGCAGTGGTGGCAGCACAGAGTTTGGTGAGGGCTGCCCAGACCCACCCACACCCTGGGTGAGTGCTTGTTACCTGAAGCTCATGACAGGACAACTGTGAAGAAGTCAGCCTGGGTTACCCTGCATGACTTCAGGATGTTCCCAGAGCTTATACGTCAAATTTAACTTCGTTAGGACATTGTAAATTATAATCTGGGTCAGATTTGCTCCTGTTTCATAGTTCAAACACGTAAGAAGAAAGGGATAGAAGAGGGTGATGCTAACAGGCAGAGGCTTTTTAACTTTCCCCCTTCCCCTTTCTTCTCTGCTTCCCTGTGTTTCCTTCTCCCTTCCTCATTCACAGATTCTCCTGCTGTGATCCAGGAACTAGGGCTTCCAGCTCAGGCTGTGCTGGCCCCTGTACGCTGTGCCACCCACTCCTGGCTGTTAGACACAGGCATCCTCGTGCAGGAACTGTCTGGGCGAGAGATGAACTGGCTCCAGGCCAGCCAAGACACTTTCTGTCTTACCCTTTCGCCACCTAATGATGTTATCAGGATACCTCTTTTATTCCTACACTACGCAGGTTTTTGATTCCATTACACAGAGCATCCAGAAACCTGGATGATTTTGAGACCTCTTATATACGTTCTTGGAAAGAGAGCTGGTCACTGCAGAAGATGTACAGATGTTCATGTTGAGTCCTGGAGAGTGACTGAGCTAAGGGAGCACGGAGGAGATCTGGTAAAACAGTTCTTTGTGATTTGGTTGGTTATCACCTGTGGCACACAGCTTGCGTGGTATTTCTGTCTGTTGAGACAATGCTGTAGGTGTGCAAAACAGGACACAAATACTTAATCCTTGATTAAGCACAGGAGATGCCTTGGAGTACTGCAGTACATTACCTTTCCTCTCCTTGTGTTGTTATGAGGGATGTAGGTCACCATTTCTCCATGGTAAAAAAAAAATTATTTGTTCACGCAATACAGCTAGTCCCTGAGCTGTTTCACTGTTGCTGACCTGTACATCCAGTTCTGTGTTATTTGCAGAAAAGCAAAGCCATGCTGCAGAGATCCCTGTTTGGAGAGGAGAGTCTGTAAGGGTCAGTGGTGCCAGCTAGTGGCTGATGGGGAAAAGGGGTTGTTCTCCCTGAGTGCACTGGTAACTCCTGGAGTTAGCTGGTTAGTCAGGAATATTTCTGGACTGTGGCTGCTGAAGTAAGATGCAGAAGCAAAGACAGTGAAACTGTGGAAGCCCTTCTGTGAAGTGGCTGCTAGTAAATGAGATGTGATTCACTGTGTGCATTCTTCCTTCATCAGTGGGGTACATTTGCTCTTTAGGTTGATTCATCTCTTTGCTTTGCCTTGCTTCCGTGTCTCTGAAATCGTCAGGTTCATTTACAGGATTTGTCACTCTTCCTTTTATCAGAAATAGTTCAAACCATTGGGGTTCCTTGCAGCTGACACCTGACACTTGGTCTCTTGTGCCTGCCAGGTTCAGGATTCAGGTTTCCTCTCTGGAAGGAGCTGTCTGAAGGTCAGGCATCACAAACATTGTCTCTCCAATACCTAAGCTAATAGTTTTGCCGAACAGGGATGGATGGAACTGAGAATCAGGAGTTCTGGCTTCCCATTCCGTCACTGAATCACTGGGCAGTTTGGAAAGTTATTTCTTCCTTTTGATACTGTTCCTTTAGCTGTAGATCAGGGAGAGCCATTTTCCCAGGAGGACATCAGATTTGATTCCTAAATCTTTAAAAACGTGAATCCATTTAGGTCACAACCTTAACCCAAAGGCCTTTTAAGCGAGGTCTGCAGAGGAATCTGAGCAGGACCACACAAGTTAAGTTAGGTAGCACTATTTTATGGGCCACCAAACCTGCCTTCCTGCTAGCCAGGTCACCACCCCATCTAATGAGAAGTGTCCCACTGAGCATGCTGTGCAATGGGCTGCTCTGCTGTGCAGCCATGTGTGCGTGAAGGCCTTGACACAGAGGTGTGATTCCAAGGAGTGAGTCAGGCAAGTGCCTCCTGGGGGTCAGGGGGATCCAGAGTTCTTGCGAGGACCTGGTACGGAATGTGAAGGATGGTGCCGTTCAAAATCTGCGTGTTGTTAGCAGCAAGTAAAGAGAGGCAGTGGGTACATTTCCTGTGAACTGCTGCAAAGGAACAAAATCATAAAAGTGGTTCTAAACAACAGGGAAGCAAGCAACTAGTCTGTCCAGATAAAAAAAGGATGAAACGGGAACACACAGCAGCTAATCCAAGTTCTGCCCCTGGACACCATCATGTGCAGCCTGCTCTAGGTGAGCCCGCTCTGGCAGGGGCGTTGGTCTAGATGATCTCCAGAGGGTCCCTTTCAATCCTTGCCGTTCTGTGATCTGGAGCGTGGGGAGAAAGTATTTTTAAAACAACCTATCTCCTGGGAAGAGGTACAAGACATCGGAGTAGGTTCCGAATTTCTGTGTGCTGTTAAGTATTATCATACATCAGATCAGATGGCTCCTAACTTTCTAACTTCTCTTGCATAACTTACACATCTCTTCAGGCTGACATGCCACACTTGTGTCTGGCCCACAGCCTTGGAACAAAATTCTGTTTATTCTGCTGCTCAAAAGTCTGGTAGGTGGGAGGCTGTTCTGCATGGCTTCACCATTCAGTCAGTTAATTCTCTTGCATGATAAATCTAGAAATTTAATGTTTTGATGACCTGTTGATTTACTCGTATAATGGAAATGATGGATTTCATTTGATTCATACAATAGAGAGCAATGCAGTGTGATAATTCTGCAGGTTTTTAGTGGATGCAGGCTACCAGCTGCAATAATTGCTGTGTTTTACGTGCATGTGCTGAAAACTCCTCTTTGTGTCTCTCAAAGCAACAGAAATGTTCTTGGAGAAATGTGTATTCCTATAGTCTGTGTTGACAGATATTTCTGATTCGTGCATTGCTCGTATTTACTTGTAGCCTCACAAGCACAAACTGGTCACTACCAGCACAGGAAAAGACCTTTTTTTTTTTTTTTTTCAGTAGCGGGACACTTCTGTAGTGAGCCTTCTGCTAGCACAAAAATACTTTGAATTTCTCCAGGACCCAGTTGGATACAAGCATGCCTGCGCTGTCCTTTGCCAAAATTCACACACCTGCTTTGTCACTGCTGGTGTTTGTGTCACTCCTGGCATTGCAAATCCCAGGTTGTTCTCGTCTGCAGGTAGTTTTCTGTTCTGTGACTTCTGGGTCACGTTCGTGTGCAAAGGTATATTGGGAATTGAGCCTTAGCCACAATTCTTTGCTTTCCCATCTCGGTTTCAGCTGAGATAGAGTTAATTTTCTTCCTACTAGCTGGTACGGTGCTGTGTTTTGGAGTTAGTGTGTGAATAATGTTGAGGACACACCGATGGTTTTAGTTGTTGCTAAGTAATGTTTATACTACGTCAGGGATTTCTCAGTTTCTTGTGCCCTGCCAGTGAGAAGGATGGAGGGGCACAAGAAGCTGGGAGGGTACACAGCCCAGATGGATATTCCATACCTGTGACATCATGCCCAGTATGTAAACTGGGGGGCAGTTGCCTGAGAGGGGCAGATCGCTGCTGGGGGACAGGCTGAGCATCAGTCGGTGGTGAGCAGTTGCACTGTGCATCACTTGTCTTTTCTTGGGTTTATCTTCTGTTTCATTATGATTATTACAGTTTAATAATTGAAATAAAAATCAAACCGTTCTTACCTCAACCCACAACTTTTACTTGTTTTTGATTCTCCTCCCTGTCCTACTGTGGGGGAAGAGGGGGAGGAGTGAGCGAGCAGCTGGGTGGTGCTTAGTTACTGGCTGGGGTTAAACCACGACATTTCCCTGTTGAAAAACAAAACCAAACAAAATACCAAACTGAACAGAAAGGACTAGTAAAACTTGGTTTGAAAATGCCCCTTTACACTCCCAGCCAGGGTTTGACTATGCCATGAAGGGACAACCAAAGTGGTGACTGTGGTTTGCCCAACTGAACTCTGCACTGCTAGCACCAACATGTGAGAAAACCCTTGTGCAAGCTCGTAACATCATGAGGGATTTCTTTTTGTATTTTTTTTAACTGCACTCAACAGGAAATGAGTTGCCATTTAAAGTTAGCCAATCAGCTTTTGTATCTCTTGTCCTCCACTTCTTGCTTGGTTTATCTGCTCTCTTCCTGTTCAACTACTCACTTTCATCTGGTTAGCAAGAGCTGAGCTGTTGATGTTTCAAGAGGATTGACTGATGAGGGGAATGATATGTGTGTAGCATAAATCATCTCTGTTTTTGTGCAGAAGGCCGATGGAACATGTAACACAAACTTCAAAACTACAAAGACACAGGAGCAAGTTCTGCAGGTTTTTGTGGAATTCATCGAGGGCAACACAACTATTCTGGTGAGTCTGAACTCTTCAGGTTCACTAACCTTTGACCCAATGGACTTGCTTCAGGGCCATGCTTCCTCTGGTACAAGAAAAATGAATTAAACTACCAAGGAAGAAAGTAGTTTTAATGTCCAGTCCTTCTCAGCAGATGGAGTGGACATGAGGACTTGGTGGGCTGTGAGAAGTAGTTGGTTGACACCAGTCCTGTCAGCTCTTGCCATGGCTTCACTGCAAGTTCCTCATGCTAGCAAAGCGTCAGTCAGGCTAACGTACGGCTTTCCATCGGCTGCGACCATGGGTGTTAAATGTGTCAGAGGCATGATGATGTCTAAGAAAGGATTGTGTTGGCAGGAAAACTTGTGACTGGGGAATTCAGTCTGGAGAGGATAAAACCAGAGCATGGGGGCAGGAAGTGAGATCGGCGGCTGGCTGTGTTCCGATGTGCGAGACTCGCGAGACTCGCCTCGGAGAGCAATTCCGGCGCGCTGCTTCATGGTTAACACAGCAGGCATGTGGTAGATTGCATCACATGTCTCTTGTCTTCGGAGCTTCAAAGGATGTCATCGTGTTTTGCCGCAGTGTAGAAGCCGTAGTGGAGGCAGATTAGTCCTCCAGGAGGAGCGTGCTTGGTAACACAGGACAGCATTAAAAATGTGTACTAGAGCTTTATGCGTTAGGCCTTTGATTTATTTATTCCCTCCACCATGGCTGGAGCTTCTTGTCTCTCTAACACAATTTCATTCACTTTTCACCGTAGAAAATGAAAAGATCTTCAATTACTTGAAACTTTTTTCTCTTTATTAATGAAAGACATAAAGGGATGCAGAAAGACTCACTGCATCCCAAGCAAGGCAGGTAAGTATGCCTGGTGTAATGCATGCAGCCTCTTCATTCACTATGAAAGCCCGTTGAAGTGTATTTTCAGATTGACTTTTGAATGAGGAACCTGTGTTTTGGAGGACCTCTAGCTTAAAATTAACATGATCTAGTCATTATATTAACTTTTGAGTAGCTTTTATTCATTCTTTACTTAAATGTTTATGGGTTGTTGTGTTTCCTCCTCTTCCTCCAGAAAAAATACCTCAAGCGTCTGCAGGAAATTCATATCATTCTTGAATCCTCAGACTTCTTCAAGCGACATGAGGTGAGCAGTGAGTGTAAGGCTGTATGGCTGCTTCATTTGGTCATTTAGATGGATTTCAGAATAGCCCACTGTATTATTAGAAAGGAGTTTCTAGTAGAAGAAAAGTCATATATGTTAACAACACAGATGCCACAAAGGCTTTATCATAATGACAGGGAAGATTAAAACAATCAAGGAATAATAAATCCTCTGATCTTCAGCACTTACAGCTCTGGGCCACCACAGGGAAAGGTTTGTTAGAGCCAGTTTCCTGTGGTTTCTCTAAATCTTGGTGTGTTCCACTGGGAATCTTTACAGGGCTACAGTAATGCGGAAGCTTGCATTTGGTACAGTAGCATTCAGTTGTAGTGTGACCACAAAGGCTTTATTAGTTATATGTTTTATGTTGAAACACTGTGTAATTCCAAGTTGTCCTTGTATGCTTTGCTGTGGAGAAGGTGTTGTGAGCATCCTAAGTTCTGCTTGTAACAACTCAGAATTTTGAGATCAGCCATTTTATTTTATCTTGTTAATTTTCTTTTGTCACTAGAGGCATTTTTGGTTAATCATGGGTCATGGTCTTTTGTTTGAAAGTAGTTAGAGGCTTTGGTGAATTGCTCAAACTGAGACGTACCACCAAGTACGGTGGAAAAATGTTTTTCTTCCTTCTATCTGCTGGGTCCCTTTTCCCATCTACATGCCCATTTTGTTACTGATGGCGATGGGGGAGAGCGCAAGGATGTGCTTTTAACCACGTTACCCTAATTTGTCTTCCAGGTCGTTGGAAGTTCACTACTTTTTGTACATGACGGCAGTGGGAATGCCAATGTGTGGCTGATCGATTTTGGAAAGACCACCCTTCTCCCTGATGGGCAGACGCTTGATCACAGGATCCCCTGGCAGGAAGGCAACAGGGAGGATGGGTACTTATTGGGGTTGGACAATCTGATTGGCATTTTGGGAAGCATCACTGAAAGATGAGTTGAGAATGGCACAAAACTTGCAGGGCTTCTCTGTAACTTTCTACTCTACTGGGATCACTCACTTGGAAGGAAATCTTTAACTCCCTCCAGATTTCTGAGGTCATCAGTGTGGAGGTAGTTGCATACAGAACTCAGCAGTTAGTGATCAAAATGACTTTGCATCAGCCCTCTGAACCTAAATAACTCCAGGTTGGTCTGTATTGCACCGGCTGAACTTCAGACTGGTCCTCAGAGAACGAAGATCTCCACACTCAGGAATCACACCAGCATGAGTCGAGAGGTCTGTATGGTAAACCAGAATGATTCTGGCAAACAGGTGGCACTCTAGCTTACCTCTAGATTAAGCAAGTGCTTGGCAATTCAGCATAGGAATAACAATTTTTCAGGGAACTGTGTAGTTTTGAAACCAGCAAGAGTGTTGTGTCCCCCCCCCCACCTCACCTCTAATAATTCCAAGTTTCCTCACTCCTGTGTACGCAATAGGTTGGACTAACAACTTCTGCTGCGTTGTGTTGCGGTGGGTATGGGGTGAAAGTGGATGATAACCACACAAAACCTGGAGCAAAGGGAGACAGCAGTTTGTAGTGGCTGGATGTGGTAACTCCTGTTGACCATTGCTCCTCTCCCCTACCCAAGCCTTGATTCACATCTCTCTGAGAAAAGCCTTTTCTTGTGATCTTGCCTCTCAGGAGATACTCTAGGGAGAGAATAGCAACCTATTGTCTCTGAAAACATTTGAATTTCAGACTGGGTGGGCTATTTGAAAAGTGCCTAGTTTGGCCTCGCAGCTGAACTGCAGTTCTGGAAAATCAAGAGTGACTCTCTTGCACACAGACCAGAGAACTGAGTCGGTTGGGGTATTTTTTGAAGGTGGTGTTGTTTTTTTTCTAAGGCACGTTTCTTTTAAAAGATAAAACATCTTTACACACGCACAGACGTACGCGCTAGTAGCCAGTAACCACTCTGATCTCTTACGAGCATGGTTTTGGCTGTCTCCTAATGCACGTGACTTCTTAGCCATATTCCTCTTCCCAAATGCGACGCTGCCACTTAAGAGTATAGACTGGCGCAGTGCTCGGGAAAGTAATGTTTCTGCATTCACAGCATTACACTAATAACGAGGTAATTCCCAGGCATCCTTCCTCCAAGGTATCAGTTGTTAACTCAGGGCAGTTTGGAGGAAGGAATATCAATATATCGCATCCTCTAGTCCCCGTCTGGAGACATGGGGTCATCTGTGGTTTGTTCTTCTCTTGCTGCGGCCCAGGTGCAGCCACAGAAAGTTCACAGTGTTTAGGTTAAAAAATCAAGAAAGACTGAAGTGATTGTTTGTAATGGCTTCACATAACATCTCTGTGGTTGCCTTTAGTCACTTGAACAGTTCTCTAAATATTAGCAGTATAAATACTATCAGTATTCACCTGTTCACTCACATTAGGCTTTAATAACGTGATGATGCAGTTTTCAAAATGAGAACAGGACTTCTATTATTATTTGATTGTCAAACCCCTTTTAACTTCTAAAGCTAGTAATGCATATTGATCAGAAATTGCGTATTTTGCTGGTGTCCTGTGCTCAGGAAAAATTCTGAGAACTTCAGAATATGTGAAGGTGACTCCATGCTGTGAGAAACTGCTGTTTTCAGTAGTAATTGTGATCATGACCAAAAAAAAAAAAAGGTTGCAGAGTCCAGATCTGGAATGAAGTCCTTCTATAACATTTGTAATTAGAATCAAAGAGCCTAAAATAATTTCTAAAAGAAGTTACTTTAGAGAACACATTGCAGTACTAAGAGGTAAATCAGATTTAATGACATTTTTTATCACCTCTAAACAACCCAGCAGTATTAAAAATTCAAGCTTGGTTGTGACCTAAAAATTACATGACGTAGAGTGGATATTCTGTAGGCAGTAACGACACCTGGAAATGTTTCATCCTAAACCAGAAATTGTTTGAAACTGGTAATTTTTGCATTCACTGCAAATTCAGACTTCTTTGGCCTCACAGAGTCCCTCTCAGTTTTATTTTCATGATAGTATGTTGATGAATTTTTCCATCTAGATGTTTAAGAGGGTTTACTTTCTTCTTTTTTTTTTTTTTTGAAGTGACAGCAAGCCTTCAATAGGGAGCACAGATATTATCATTTCAGATGCCTCCTAAGCGCTGTGAGATGACGAATTACTCTGTGGTGAATTTCATACGATTTATTTATTTATTTGAAAAAGGGCTTCTTTCTTTCCTGCAGCTAAGCAGTGCTTAAGGACAGTGGGGAGAAGATAGGACTTACAAAGCATGACTTTAATAACTTTTCTGTGACACTACAATTGCAGACAGTCCAACCATAATTAAAAAAAACCCAGAAGAAGTTGGAAATGAGACTGTTAAGGTGATAGAATTCATTAGTGGTTTGCCTAATTAATCTTCAGAGTTAAATTTATTTTTTCTGTTACCACATGGGTGAACGTTTCACACCAGCATAAGTTGTTTTCTAAAGAGGAGACTTACTTAGGAGGCAGAAGTTGATGCTAAAATGTCAGTTGAGAGATTAAAAGACAAACTTTTAGAATGACTGTCCAATTCTAAAGGAGAACTAGAAGCAACATTGAACCAGTAGCTTAAAAAACCCCAGCTGCTGCTAGCACCTGGGTGGTTTGCAGTACGTAGTCTTAGAAGGAAGCACAGGTAGTTGAAAAAGTCAAGGGGAAAAGAAAACATCTGTTATAGCAGGTCTTGATCTGGAAACTCATTCTAGACGATAAGTAGTTCTAGCAAGTTAGTTTTGAAATGGCCTTTAGCTGCCCACAAAAAGGGAAGAAGCCACAATCCGCTGCTGCTGTCATGAGAAAAGAGGAGGCAGCTTGTCATGAGCAGCCTGCAGATGTAGGGCTGGAGGCTGGGAGCTCATGAGCAAACTACCACGGAGTAAGTTAGATACCTTCAGTCACGTCGTGTGGCCCTGCGTGCCTGTCTCTGTACACTCACTCACTAGTGTGAGGAAGCCGCAGAGCCACCTTTCACTATGAAGTCGCCTTGAATAAGCTTGTATTTACCGGGTGGGGGTGAGGGGGTGGGGGGTGTCTACATAATGCCTTTGCACAGGCACGTACCATAGAACAGCTGATGCATGATAACCTTGACACTTGCTCGCACTCAACTCTAGAATGTAATTCTTTAATGCGGCCGCTGAGATATTGCCTCGCTCTGGAGACACCGAGAACACGTGCGTTCTCACAGCAGGGTGAGATGTGCTGGCCTAGAGGTGCTTTGGTGCTGAACAGCGAACCTCTGACCTAGGCACCATGGTCGTTAAACTCACTAGTGAGGTGCAGCAATGCTTACTGCTGTAGCTGCTGCGTTCCTGTGTGAATCTAGCAGTGGGACTTCTCTCTCTCAACTTTGCCAGTGACTTGGGGTTTTTTTGGCCTTGGGCAACTATCCTAGGCCTCAATTTTGTTCCCATTTCCCAGATGGGAATAGTACCTACTTACCTCACAGGAATGGTGTGAGGCTGTCCTTCGTTATCGCTTGCAAGATGCTGGGAGATTGGAGGAACATGCAATATAGAAAGAAATGCACAAAGACATACATCAGCCAAGTTCAAAAATGATGGGTGGTGAGGCCCCACAAGGATATCAATTTGGATGAAATTTAACCAAAGGAGTAAAAATTAAATCTCTCTTTAATTTTACACAGGGGGGAGAATTCACTTAACATCTGATCCAGTTCCTGTTATAGGGCAAGATTTCAATGGGAGTTGGACCAAACCCTTGAGTATCTCAGAGGGCTCTTGCTATTTTTTTATTACTTTATTGCTGTTGTTATTATTTGTTATTCTTAAGGTACTGAGATCCAATGGCCTGTATAATCCACATGCATCCGTTCTGAACACTACAATGCAATGCTGACCATGGTCACTTTTGACATTGACTGTACTGGTTGAGTGTTTGTTACTCTGAAGTGTGTATGCTACTAAATAAATGAGACTGAAGGAAAAAAAGACATCCACTGTGATTTGATCACAGGACAGTAATGCCTTTTCTTTAAGAATTTGCTTAGGAAAGAGACAAAAGCCTATTTATTTCAGTATTTCTTTTGCTTTTAGTCCTTAACATCTTGTATTTCCTAAACCAACATGGGTTGTAAGACATCTAGAAGCTAACGTTGGAAAGTGGTTCCCAAACATATTAGGTATGTTTCCTTTAGAACCTGATCCACACAAAGCTTGACAGCTTCCTTTGAGGTAAGCTCTATCTTAAAAAATATTCAAAAAAATTGTGCCTCAAAAGACACTTGGCAGACTCGGAGCAGTTAACTGTTACCTGGGGCAGTTTTGTGTGGTCACCTCTCCAGGTCTCACAACACTTCTCAAAAGTGCAAAAGCCCAGGACTGTTTCATTAGACTTGCAAAACTTTCTTAGTCTGCATCTGCCCCTTGGCAAATCAGGGGAGAACTTACCTCGGGGAAAAGGGTTGATAGGAGGGGGACTGAAGTCTGTGCAGTTAAAAATTCTGTTTCTTTAAAGGGAAAATAAAGGTACAAAGCACTTGAGGAGAGAAAAGATAACAAAGAAATCAGAAGCAAGAATATCAACAAATGTGAAAAGAAAGCAGAAAAAGACAAATTGAAATTTGAATTATTATTTCATCTTATTCAATACCTTTTTTTTAAAAGGTAGGTATGAGGTTGTATGAAGCAACATAAAATACTAATGTCGAGCCTAGAAGAAAAAAAACACAACATCCCAACAACTATATACACACAAATCTAAAAACAAGCTGGTAACATGCTAAAAGACACCAGGAAGAGCAATTTATAATAATACTATAAGTGGCTGATTCCTCGGTGGGAAAGTGTTGGAAGCCTTTTCACATGGATTACAGGATTGAATTAATCCCAGAGCTCCAGCTCACATCACCCCTCTAGGAAACAAAATCAGATTTTGGCTTTCAACTGCCAAAGTAACCTAATTTCAATACTACGGGTTCAACTGATTGATTATGCACTAAAAGTGCCTCCTTAAAAAAAAAAACAGTTTCAAGCTCATTACATTTTGAAATCTGAGTGAACAGAAATTTCAATATTGTAGGAATGAAGGTAGCAGTATATATCACTGCAATTATTTTATGTTTTTTCTTTGTGGATAATACGGTTTGGACAGCATGTAGCCTTTCAGCAGCACAACAGGAGCAGTATTAACAATATTTCCTCCAGGATATTAATTAAAAATCCACAATCCACAAGGGTTTTTAAAAAGCAACTGAGAGATCAGATATGCACAGAAAAACTGTTACAGGCCAAAGATTCATGGCAACTGTGCTTTCACCTTTGGTTCCGTTGGAGGGAGTTAAGAACTTATATAAAATTTAGGTTGCTAATGCAGATTCTTTTCAAATGCCCAGGTGGTTCTTTTAGTGCCTGTTTGATTACATGCAGGTCCATGTTCTGTCTTGTTACAAGACACTGCATCTGGCTCGGTGCATCCCTGAGCTACATGCTGTTGTAAACCAGCAAAGTATGTCTAGCAAATAAATAAATAAACACTACGTGCTCACGCTAAAGTTGCCGGTCAACACCCCACTGTTGGTCACTTTTAAAGATGGTAAGATACCAAGCAGGATGGAGTTTTATTCTGGCTCATGGCAGCTTTGTCTATGCTCTTCCTGTAAATGAATACCTTGATACAGCTGTTCAGTAAAACCAGGCATTTGTCCAATGTTCTGGAGTGAAGAACTTGCATTTTGTTTACAAATTGAAGCCATAGCTGCAGCCAAGGCTGCCTGTGGCATTGGTAATAGAACTGTGCTCTTCTCTCACTTCTCAGTGGCTTACCTAGTTTTATCTCTGTTGGCCTTTCTAAATTCCTGAATTATGCTGAGGCAAGTGCTGCATATGAGGAAAACAGTGATAGCTCGAACTGGGTAACCGTGTGGACAGCAGGGATCCTATCTGCTTCTTGGTGGACTCTTAGGGTATTGTATAGCTCTTTCCACACACACAAAAATTAAGAACTGTTGTCGCTGCTACTTTGTAGAAAGCCCACAGGAAGAAAAGGTGGTATAGTTAACTTCCCACAGCTTCTGAACAAGTCAGCATTTCACTAAAAGTAGATGTATTTATTCTTGACTAGCATGTTCCAGAGATGGCCATCCTGAAACATGACCAAAAACATTAGCCTCTGCAAGAGGAGAGAATTAAAATATTTCCTGCTATCTGGGCTTTCCCACCTCATCTAACTGGGCTGTGGCAGCTCCTGAATATAAGATAGGACAGACAATGAGAGAAGCCAGAGAGCTGAAGCAAAGGTGAAATGAAAAGAAGGGCGCAAGACAAGGGCAACCATTGCCCTTGGTCACTAAGCCCACCACTCCTGGAATTTGCCCCTGCACCAAGGGAACCCCCTGTTCAAACCATCTATCATTTCACAGCATGGGTTTGGAATTATTTCCCTGCCACACAGGTCCTTGCTGAAAGGGGACCGTCAGCACCACTCAGATCTGAAAATGACGGCGTATAGCACCATTCTAAAGCCAAAGGCCTAAAGCTATAGGAAGCCTGGAACAGGTACAAAGTCAGGCCAACAATGCATAAATCTGTGCTGAATACACATTTCACTCCAGATGGATTCAGACTTTTCCCTCTCTGCTTTTCCGTACCACACCTCAGGAGTGTCCATCCCTGAACGACGCAGAGGACGGGAAGTGTGTGATCAAAGCAAGCCCTCTCCTGCTAACTCACGTCTTCAGACATGATTGCTACATACGTAGCTTTTTCCAGAGCACCTGTTTCCTCAGAAAGTAACCAGTCTGCAACTGGCATTTCCCCACACAACTTGATTACACATGTCAATTGCCAAGGTAGGCTGGCAGTGCACCACTCAGGAGGGGGACAAGGACAAAAAGCTTCTGAGACTCTTCAGGCTTAATCCAAATTATTTACTTTTTCAGTCTCCTTATGTTGCAGGCTTTAACCACTAACCATCAGTTTTAGACCCTAAGCAACAGAAGGAAGCCTTAGAAATGAGCTGTCTTCAAAACAAACAGCAACTACCTTTACCAGCAAGCCAGTATGGTTGCTAGAAAAAATGACAACATGCTCAGGTGTGTGAAGCCAAGTCATGGCGTTAGCTTGCTCAAACAGCTGAGCTTTTCTACCTTCCCATGTGAAGGGCACCATAAGGTAGTGTTTGTATTAGGGTCCCCTTCACTCTGCCCTTCCTTTCCATTTCTTTGTTTCTATCTCAGAGGGTATTAAAAACAAGAACTCCTCCAGTGTGCCAAATGCCAGACAGTTACCCAAGAACCTCAGCTTAATGCTTACCAACATAGCACAGGAAATTGCTGCTGAATAGCAAAGTACTTACAAAAATGAAGTTCATCCTGAGCAAAGTCCATTAAAAGATAAAGACAGTCCGTTTCTCATCACACCATGCAGCTCAGCTCACCCTTTCTTGAAAAACCACCTGCCCTTTCCACACCAGGAGCTGTGAGGAAAGTGACACCATGAAGCAAGCAGCACATTTCCTTCACTATTCAAAGGGATACTATCAGCTCAAACAACCATTTTTTTTTAACTAGTAAATTTGTTTTCCTCTTCATTGCTTGTTTTCAAATCACATGCTCAGAGAAGCCTGGGTTTTTTTTTTTTTTCATCCTTCCTACTGCTTCCAATTTGAGCAGTAGCTTCCTTTTCATGTTTTTGCCACAGGGTCCGCTAATAAACAGATGTAAATGTAGCTGCTATTTTATCTATTTCCCTTACAATACATGATCATCACTAGTAAGTCATGAGGATGGCAAAAAGCTCTTGGAAATGGCGCAGCCTTTGCAAGTTGGTTGCTGCTGCCACAGCATGTGTTTTTGGTTTCTTCTGTCAGAAAGAAGTGTAGCCTGTGTTGGTCATTATTTTCATCCAAATGCTGCAGCTGGATGGTAGGTCTGTTTTTTTTCACCTGAGCAGATTGAGAAGTCCTTTCATTAAGTATTGTATTCTGAATCGGAGCAGCGATGCCGTAGTTCTCCATCTCTAAGTTGGTTCAGTGGAACACATTCGACGGGCAGAGATAGAAATGTAACTGTCTTAACGATCTGGGGAGCTGGCAGGTAGAAGGAGGAAGCAAAAATTGCCGATGTTGAAACATCACCCATCTGAAGGAACTTAAACGGAGGAAGTACGTGAAATAGGAAGCAGTCCTTCCAGACCCACGCATTCCCTGACCTTTGGAAGAACCATTTCTGTTACACTGGAGTAACACTCAAGTCATCTGACAGTGACAGACCAGAGTCCCTCTCTCTGGATGTTTTCTCTGTTTTATAAAAAGGCTTTTCCTCTCTGTGCAGGCTGGAGCTCCTTAGCACTGCTGCTCTGACCTCTGCCAAAGCAGATGGCTGGTGGTCAGTGCTATAGCACAGGTCATCATAAGCATAATTTACATTGCCACAGGGGAAAGTCTGGAGTTTCACCAGTTCAATCCCACTGATATCCAGGTGAGGGCAGTTGCTTCGACTTGGAGATGCTGGAGATGCCCGAGAGCTAGGAGAGGAACTGCAATTCCCATCAAAGCCCGAATCTTCCCGCTCTGGAGTGGCTTTGAGCTTGGAGCTGGGGCTGAAGTGACAGATGTTCTCTAGCACCCACGATCCATAGGTTGGGTTCCAAAGATTTTTTGTTTTGTTTTTAAGTCTGTGGGTTGGTGGATTGCTGAGCTCCAGCTTCTGATTGGAGGTCTGCTGGAACCAGGACCCACTGTTGAAGTCGCTGAGGCATGGCAGGCTGGGGCCTCGAGCAGTCCGGTTGCTCAGGTTCTCCACCAGCAGCTCTTGTGGACGTTGTACAAGTTTGTGCCCAGCATGGTGGGAGTCCCGTGTTTTAGGTGTTGTCTGAGGTGTGAGACAAGGGCTTACCAACAGGGGCACTATCCCGCTGGAAATGTTTGGGCGCATGACTGTACTCCCTTCATCCTCTGGCGTGGGGCTGCACTCCATGGGCAGCTCGGTGTTGATCACATCAGGGTCCTGAAAAACAGAGACAAGGATCTGCTACACCCCGAAGTACCTTCAGGGTGACTGCCACACCTGCATTTGAAGAGAAACAGCTATGAGAGCGAGAAAGCTTTTGGCAGAGGCTGACATCAGGTTTGGGCAATGTTCCCGCGCGTTGCGCGAGGTGCTGTGTGCCATCGCTGTTAGGACTTGGGGCAGAGGTTGTGCTTTATCAAAGTCAGTGGCTAAGCTGGGGGTCACAAGTGTGTAATTTCTCCCACAGGAGGTTGGATCCAGGCCTGCAGCTGTAAAATGCTACCAGATGGTGACCTCACTGCGCCATCTCATTCCCCCCCTTCCACTCCATACCAACCAAAATGCGGCTTTCAAGCAACATTAGGCAAGGTCAGAATATGGACCTTGAAAGAGATTCTAAATACCTTTCCAGCACGAAATGAAGGACGCTTTGCTAATGAACAACCATAGAGTTGAAAAGGTCTTCTTGCACAGGAACAGTATAATCTCATTTTGGTTGAGCTGAAGATGGGAGAGCGAGGATGGGTACCGGAAAACCCATATGAAAGGAGCAGTTGAGCCACCAGCAACACCACAATCGGGAAAATATTTAGATCAGTCTGTCAGGACTCTTCATTTGTTTTGGGCACTAAAGCTGATGTCTTTGGATAGCTGGCCTTCCTTGGAGTATCATCCACCTGGATACCCAAGACCCGTACCTGTGTGCAATACTTGATCCTTTCCAAGATGGTGGAGAAGTTTGGCCGATACTCTGGGCTGTGTTGCCAGCACTGTGTCATGATCCGGTACCTTAAAATCAGTTAAAAAAAAATAATAATAAAAAAGAAGTATTGATCAAGAAAGGTAATTATGTAAAATGTGTTTCAGTATGAAGTGATCATGGGTCCAGGGGAACTGCCCTCAATACGTGGCCCAAAGGAGGAGAGCAGAAGTAGATGGGTCATTTCTGCATCCTTGGATTCTAAACTTGGGGGGTGGGCACTACTTAATGCAAATCCTGTAGTACTCTAGGCTGTGTGCAAGAGGCAGTGGCTCAAGAGACTTTCAGTAATATCCACCTGAGGCTGGGGGCTCTCACCTTTGGCTAATCTGTTTGATACCCACAGTCCCTTGTCACTTGTAGGAGTTAAGGAAATACTTACACTGGTCCTGGACAGTTTTTTGGTGGATCCATTCTTCCTCCACTGGTGACAAATTCCAGCACTTCTTGATTGGTTTTGCAAGGGTAGGGCATGTAGCCTAGAGAGAAAATCTCCCAAAGCAGCACACCAAATGACCTGTGTCAGAAACCAGCCAACAATACCAATTGAGTTTCATTTGCGTTCCACAAACCTGGCACGAAGCTGTGTAGGTAACACCACAGCAACAACCTTTTGAAGCTGTAGGCCAACCATAGTAATGTGCAATTAGTGTGATTATGAGTCAACTTTGATACAAAAAAAGCCCCCAATCAAATAAAACCTTTGCTCAAGCTCCAACACTAGCTTTTCAGAAGTTTCAAATGACTTGAATAACTCTGAAGTTGATCTTTCTGCTGCGCTTGTTTTTTTTCTAGAGCAGGAAATGCCAGAGCAGCCTTTGCTATGTAGAGTCTACCTGAAAATAACTGTTAGGCCTGGCAAGGAGATTCCTACCTTACCTGGGAAGACTTGAGATATTTGAATCAGTGTTTAGGAACATGACGCTTGAGAATAAAATCAAGTAAGAGCCATCCAGTGAAACGGAATGGCAGCAGCATTTATTTTTTGCCATGATATGGTTGCTCTCCCTTTTGACAGTCACTAAAAATAATGTATGATTTAGATCCAGGGGAGTCAAGAGGGTTCTGCCAGGACTTCAGCAGGGTTACAATTTTAAGAGTCACTGTTTGCTGCAAAGGTGGAAGAAAAAACTTCCATCATGTTACTTATAATAGCCTTTTACAGGAACTGTGGCACTTTCCTTCAAAATGCTTAGCACTGGCTGCTCACAGTTAGGGGCTGATAAGCAATTCCTTGTCTTCCGGCATCACTCACAACCAGGAAACTGGGTCAGTGTGGCATTTAAGGGAATGTCTCAGCACAGTATATTGAAGAATCCACTGTAGGGAGGCATTCTTAAGCAACTGGAAAGCTTCCATTCCCCAGCACCTGTGCGTGGATGTGCTACTGCTGAGGGGATGCTTATTTTAAAGAAATATCAAGTTACATGAGGAATCTGTATATAAATATTGTTTCCTCAGCAACCAGCAAGGACTACTGATTAAATATGCTGTCATTTTATATATAACAGGAGAAAAAATGACACAAGAGAGTAATCCTGTGTGGTAGAGAGAGTAATTTACAAGACATATCAGCAGGCGTCGTCACTGATAGAGTGACAGGTATTGAGGGTTGAGGAAAGTGTTTTATGGTATTTGTTGGGATTTTTAATGGAGATTTCTTGAGAATCTAAACTGCTTTCTCTTTTCACTTCTTGATTGCCTTTATACGATACTCTACATTTATGTGCAGCGATTTATTACCTCCATTTACATTAGATTTTTAAATTCTTATTCAGAATTCTTTAGCTACGCTTCTACTGAATGCAGAGGGAAGACTTCTAGTAATTTTTTTTTGGAAATTCTGACAACTTTTAAGGTTCATGCTGAGCAGATCTCTTTTTCTTGAGCAGTACATTTCTTGACCCTTTTCACTGAGTAGCAGAAGTGATTAAAAGACATTTGTTACCAGGTATCAGTCTTGGAGGTGAAAATGCCCTCTAGAAAAGCTTCTGGTGGCATCCACTTGACAGGAAGCATGGCTCGTCCTCCCTTGCGGTAGTAACTTGCTCTAGGAAAGATGAAATGCACAAAGAATGTCACACAGCCTGGAAGGGTGCAGATATATTAAAGATCTTACCACCACAGCAACAGCAGCCGGGGACTGCATGTGGCAATGGGTGCCAGGTGAGAAAAAGGTAAAGTCGTCAACACATACAGTGCATCAAAGCAGTATTTTATACCCTCTTTGCAACTTATACCCTATTTGCAACTGAGATGGAAACTGAGGATGTTGTAGGTGCGCAGCTGAAGACATCAAATTTGCCAATGCTTTGCACGGGGTGCTGTGGCAGCAAGTTTTCTTGACATCATAAACTGAGAATTATGGTTGGGGTTTCTTTTAAATTTAAGATTATTTATCATCAAGTAGCTATCAAATTTTCCCATGCTTGCTTTAATGTCCACATGTGTTCGCAGCGTGCCTTGAAGCCCCATCTGGAATAAACACAGTTGAAGTGTATTGACTAGTAGGCATAGATGTGTTAATTTACAGTCTGTTAACTCCAGCTAGTTAACTGGTAATCAAATTCAGACACATAATGGATGGTTCCACTGCTTCAGGTTCCACAAGACTGTTCAAACTGGTCAACATGATACAGATTACTGAGTTACTCACAGGACTGAAATGCCCTTTCACTTACCTGTAAATATCCCTGGCCATCCCAAAGTCACCGATCTTGGCTATACGTCCCGCTCCAGTGCACGTCAAAAGGCAATTCCTTGCAGCTATATCTCTTTAAAATAGTAAGAAAAACCTATTAATTCTAATTCTCAACTCTTAAGCAGCTAAAGGAATAAAGAAAGAATATTTGACCCAGTCCCACAAAAAATTAAAAAATAGAAATTAAAAATAAGAAATAATGCCAGCTACGCTATCATTTTTATTAACCGCAATTCTTAAAACTTCATTTACATTATATTTTCTACCCAGTGTTTTCCAAGCATTCTCCACTCCCAGCTCCCTTTCACTAAGGCAGAAAACAAGGTCAGTGTCAGAACATGGACAGATCCAACCTCTTTTGCTTCAACCTTATTACAACAGATCTCTTTCTTGCTCTATTTCTTTTAAAGAGTGGCATCTCAGCAGTGTCTCCACCAGTTCCAGATGTGGTATTACTGGGTAGTCTTAAGTAAACTGCTTGAAAAGTCAATGTAAGACCAGATTCAGTAAATGGTTGCTTTGGTGCTTCTGGATATGCCCCGTGGAAGCAAAGAAAGCTACATATGGGAGCAGCCGTTCGCTGGGTGCAGGTTCAGCTTGTGACAAATGGCAGCGATGACTGCATGGCCAAGACAGAAGGATTTGTGCTCATTTTAAATACACATTCTGCAAAGGAACTCATTAAAAATCATAGCACTGTGGGGGTCCTGTTGACTGCCAAGAAAAACGAGCTCCTTGAACAACTCATATGTTTCTTCCCACTGCCAGCCTTGAAAAATCCCTCAGGATTTAGAAATCAAGCTCAACTTTCTCTTCCGTCATCATCTGTGACACCTAGGTGACAAGACCTGCCCGAGGTGACATCCCCACAACCCCACTACACTACCTTTACCCCCTAGGAAACCTGTTATCTGTAATGGTAACGTTCTTCCCTTCCCGACCCACTTCAAGTAACAGTGACGTCACTGACAAATACTAATACAGAACCTGAACAAAATTCCTTCTACACTCGTTTCCTGAACTGTGGCTAAACAAAAAATGAGTCCATTCCCAGTTTGCTTATACCAGAGACCTAACAGTGCAAAAACCGACCCAGAGAGCTTTTTTACAAGTGATATGCTGCTGTTAAAAGAGTCAAGCACTAGTTGCTTCCATTTCTCTCCTGAAATAAGGGATTGGTCTTGAGCAATAACAGCTGGCCTGTCGATTTGTTGACATAAATGTCACAAGGTTTATGTGATGACTGTTGGGCTCTAACATGTGACAAGAAAGCTGGAGAACATCTACCTGACAGGAGAAATGAAAATTAATTTTATGTAGGACGTCTAGAGAAAATTTCTGTTGAGTTTCTGTTGGACTTCTTGCAGCACAAGCAAAAATTGGTCCTTATCATAAATTCAGTATACCAGAGTGAGTGGATGTTAATGAAAGACATTACTAGTACAGTAAGGATTTAAAAAAACCTAATGTTGTAGCAATTAACTCTGAAGTTTCCAATTAGAACACTGATCCTGTCATGTACTCATTAAGACATCCAAGAGCCACACTCTTGTTGCACCCTCTTACTGTTCTTTTTTAACGGCAGGAATCTCCAATCTTTGTTTTTCAAAGGGACTTACTTATTGTTCCAATAAAAAGGAGACTGAAAACTTTCTCAGATGCTCTAATCATAAATCTGTAACATATCCCATAGCTCCACCTCATGGCTTTTTGATCCGATTGCTGCCTGCCACTTGTCTCCCTCAGCCTCTCCAGTCTCTCCCCACTCTTGCCCAACTCTGCCTCTGCGCAATGTCATGTGTACGTACACGTGCTTGTGCGTGTGGGTGAATCAGTTGTCTACTTGCATAACTCCCGGGTTAGTTAGAGCTTGTGTGACCTTCTTGTGTGCAGGCCTCTCCCTTTCTTTACACAGAAGGGCTCAAGTCAGCACGGAGCTCGTACTGAGGAAGGAATTCAGCTGCGCGCTGTGCCTGGGAACATTGTGAGCTGAATCAGAAGCAAAGGAGTCCAATATCCAACTGAGAATTTTAAAAGGTTACCTATAATAACCTTTACGTCTTCTGTAGCACTTTATTCTTATTTGAAGCCTGCCATAACAACAATTTTTTGCTTTACAAAAGAGGAAAATGATATGAACAGACAAATATGGGCTCCCTGAGATCACACACCAGATCAGCTGCTGAGCAGGGAAGGAGTTGTGCGTTTACCTCCTGTTATCCCTGTTCCACTCTTCTCTAAACAATGGCTCAAATATGATGGGGTGTCGTGCTGACGGGATAGGGAAAACGTTAAGACAAGATAGGGAGATTAGAAAAGGGAGAGATGATACTTTATCGCCTTATTGGCTAAGGCAGACTGACACTACCATCTAGTGGACTGCAGGGCTAATCTCAAATGTGTCTCTGCAGTAAGCACACTTGAAAACCGTCGCTGGAAACCAAGATTCCTTTCTTCTGGACAGTGCAAAGAGCAGTGCAGAGTCTAACTCCTCCCCAAAACCAGTGAGACCCGCCCAGACATCTAAGCACCTATATGGGTAGAGAAAAATCTGTCTCCCCCCTGGAGATTAGCTCTGTCTAATCCGCTGAAAACAGAACCTGTGTGAGGTTCATGCGTGTTGAGATACATCAGAAGGGACTGTTTCTCCTCACCTGTGGATGAAATGATTCTCTTCCAGGTATTTACAGCCGCAGGCAATATCCCTCGCTATGTTCAGCAGGTCCTGCATTGTCAGCGTGGATGGTTGATTCTGCAAAAGGACACACAGAGAATGGTAAGGGAAGAAGAGTGGAGTAGAAGCATACAGTTCAAGCAGGGGATAGATAATCAGAGAGGGGCAGAAGAAGGGAGACATATATACAGGGTGGAGGAAGGGTTAAATGAGTTAGGAGCAACAAGGAACATAATCAGATCAAAGTAAGAGTTAGGAAATGAGTAAACTTACAGAAGATTTCTCCTGAGCACAGTGCATAAGTGCAAGCTGGCAAAAGATTTATAGCTTGGCCTAAACAACCTGTTAAAAGGGGTGGGAAAGAACTATTCCCTACTGGTGCTGGACTTTGAGAAATCAAAAGACAAGTGGGTTTAAAACAGAAATGGCAGAGAAAAAACCCAACCACTTTTAAAGAGCGAGTTAATAAGTTATCAACAGAAATTAGCACATGAACTCAGAGAGAGAGAGAGCAAAGATGCACAAGTGCACATCTCTGCCCCAGCAGTCAGCATTCATCAACTTATCCACTCCTGTCGAAGGACAGAGATTACCCTCAGGAGGTGTTTGCAAAAAGAGATGCTTTACCACAGGACTCCGTGACTGGTCCTAGCCCTTCACCATCTGCACTTCCCTAACTAAGAACAATAAAGACGTCTTTCTCTAGAAGCCCTGCTTATTTTCATCCCATCTTTTATTTCCCCATAGGGGATTTTCCTTGGTGTTTCTCCAGGAACTTCTGTATCGCTCTCGGGAAGGGTGGGGAGAAATTACTACACTGCTGATCAAAAGCCCGAGAGATATCAAATAAATTGTTCTTTTTAAGGCTGCTTTTGTTTCTGGATGCTGTTATCACTGTAATTTCTCATGCTCAAACCACATAACATAGACTACAGCCATTGAGTACTATTTTTATTGGCTAGGCAAATTATTGTACAAAGCTCTTGTACGTCTGCCAGGGAGAATTATTATAGCTATAAAGTAGGTATTTCTGGAGAGGAAATGAAGAGCAAGGAGGAGAAACAGAACCACAGACTTGCAGGCCTTATCTCTGCTCTGGGATCCCTCTGACACAAAGCTGTGACAGACATGCATTTTTTCTGCAGCCATGGAAACTTGTCATGAAATACATTAATGACGAGGCTAGTTCTGTTTTCAGAAAAGGTGTACAGGGACTTTTTTTTATGAGTACTAAGGGGACTTCAACTATTTTATTTGCTGTCTGCTAGCGTAGCAGCTAACATAGCAGCAAGTCTGTTTTCACATGGTATTTAAAAAACAACTGGTTTTTTACATTACAACAACACATAATATTTAAATAAGACTATTTATTATTCTCTGCTGCCCACAGACTTTACCTACTCACAGGAATTGTACCACTTTCACTATAAGTGCCAAAACCAAAGACATACGAGCTCCTCCATCTGCTTGCTGTTGTACCACTGTAAGTGCATTTAATTGGTATATTTACTCTTGTATGAGGAAGAGATTAAGCTCAGTCTTTCAACAACAGGTTAACACCAGCAGAGAAGTACACACACATGAAGCTGTATCGCCAAACTGTGTGTGTGTGGGAGAAGCTGTGCAACTGCATCATGTGGTGTTGGAGGACATGAGGCACTGGTCAGCCTCCTCCTGCCCCTGTAGGCAGCCAGTAGCACAAGCACCTCAATACAACCAGAAAAAATGTAGAATCAGACCTAATTGTTCTCTTTTTTTGAGTCTCCAGTCAAGCAGAGGTATATACTTATTTAACAGAGGTGCCCAGGTTCCTGCCATTAAGAAGTGGGAACATGTTACCTGAAATCAGCTATTCATTATAAGAAAATTGAAACTAATTAATTCCAAATATTCTCTGCATTTAGTTGGCATCAATATAGGATTTGAAATCAGAGATAATTTGCAAAAACCCTCGTGATAGCTTTTTACAAAGGTGCTTTTAAAAAAACCCACCCAAATATTTGACTTGATAATTTAATTTGCATTGATTTTAAATCATTGTCACAGTGCCCCATGCAGGCTCAGCTCTTCAACTAGTATAAATTTGTGCATCTCCATATGGTGCTGATGCACACCTGCTGAGGACCTAGTGCTACAAATTCCCATTACAGCATACCAGTGTTACAATTTCAGCTCAGTGCACAGAAAACAAGCCACACATTGAGGAAAGAAACCCCCTCAATGTGTAATCCAGTCAACAGAGAACTCTGGAATGGCAGGGGAGGATTTTAAT